CCAATGGCCCCTAAGGGAGCTTCAAGGAGCACAGGTCTAATTCCACTATTCTAGTATAACCCATTCACTTCATACACCAGCGAACAGTCCCAGAGCAGTAAAGTGATGACTTTGGGACACTTTGCTATGTCATGGCATTTCTTTGTGGTAACAATAGAGGTGAAATCCTTGTGTACATAGGAGGACACTGATGCTTTCACACCTTGGTAGATGTGTGCTAAGTAATTTAACACTTAGCTTTGAAGTATCTTTACAAGTATTTTTGTCCCTACTTTGCTTTGGAGAATTATGGATTAGATGTTTGGAAAGAAAGAATACTCTAAAAGCTATGGAAAGCGCTCTTGTTTTCAGTTACTGTAACAGATTTTAAGAATGTTTACATGATATTGAAGTGTTGTCTCCTCTTAAGGTGTGGTATTTCATGCTGATTAAGAAACACATCATCTTCTGCTTCTTGAAGGATACGTTTATGATAGCACACTCCAGAATTTATAAGACTCCTGAATTAGCAAACTAATGATATCTTGTATGGATAAATGGGTGTATATAGATGCATGTGTGGGTGGATGAATGAATAGACTCTAATTTAAGAAAGAAAAACAATTTTAGGTGTATGAGATTCTGGGCCCAAATTACTTAGTATTATTATTATTTTTTTATTTTAGAAAGAATGCACATAAAATCCCTGACAATTAGTAGGTATTCAATGAAGAGCAGCCATTACTATTGAAGGATGTCAATAATACTTTCTCTATCTCAACTTTTCTAAACCTCTAGTACTTGTTTAACGCTTGATTATTTATAGTCATATATTATTTTCTTGCTTTTTCATATATCTGCATTTCACCTCTCTAGCCAGAGCATAAATCTCTCAAAATAGAAACTTTGGGGGCCAGCCCGGTGGCGTAGCAGTTGGGTTCACACACTCTGCTTCAGTGGCCTGGGGTTTGCAGGTTTGGATCCCAGGCTCAGACCTAGCACTGCTTATCAAGCCATGCTGTGGCAGGCATCCCACATATAAAGTAGAGGAAGATGGCCATGGATGTTAGCCCAGGACCAATTTTCCTCAGCAAAAAAAAAAGAAAGAAAGAAAAAGAAACTATGTCATAGTCTTCGTTTGCAACCACCCTCTTCCACCCCACATCACAGTATCTAATAAATGCATATGAACAGAGTGAGTTCTCAAGAAACATTGATAGAAGTTAAATAGAATATCATCTATTTGAATTGTATCATGTCTTTTCTTAAAATGTTGTTTTGCATATACTGTATTCCATGTTTGGTATTGACAACAGTCTGGTAATTTATATCATACCATCTCCAAATTATAATTTGTATTTTACAATTACAGTTTTATAGTTACAATTACAATAATTGTATTTCAAATTATACTCTATGTAATAATTGCTCTCCAAATATATGACCAATTAAATATCAAAGAATTTATATCTGAAAGTAAAAATGCCTGTAGGTTTTAGGCCTACCAGGGGTAAATCTTTACTTTTAGCCATGAAAGAAAAGCAATTAAACAGAGCACCCTCTGTGGTAACTTCCAACCAGTAGTAGACAAAGGGGAATTTATAGAAGTCAATTTAAAGAGTTCTTTGTAAGAGTAGGAGGAAAATAGTTGTGGCTTTTGTTAGAATCTAGAAGTCTACAAAGGATTACTAAATAGATTTTCAGTCTACCCACTTATTGAAGAATTTGATTATGTTGAAATGGGTGTATTAGATTAGATCTCAAGAATGTGATTGGAAACTCAGTTGCTTTTTGGGTTATTACTTGTTTCCGTGCAAAGCAAAAGAGAAGCTTCCATCTTCGGTTTTCAATTTAGAAATCACAGATTGCTAACATCATCTTGATTGCTAACATCATCTAGACTCCAATACCCAGCAAAAGGGAATGTATAATGTGCAAGTCTGGGCTTATTCCAGGAGGAATAATTACCATATGAGACAGACTAGTAGTTTATAGGTCAGCATTCCTGACAAATTCAGCAATGATTCGAAAAAGGCCAGATGATGGAAAAACTCTAAATATTCAGTCTTTAAAGAAAATACATTCTTTTTAAACCAAAGTTGAGTGGAAGAGAGATTAATGGATTTAGGGATACAGTAACTACTGTAATGAAATTACTCACATTAGTAATGAAAACAACTTGTGTTAAGCAATGCAAGATTTTATAGGCAGCGAAAGTCCCTCGTGGGACTAAACTCATAAGCAGGCTTAGCTTAGCCGTCAAAACACATGTGGGAAGAAACTTGACAACTGTGCCTCTCGTTTCTAATCTTCTTTCTCCTAAAAAGTTTCTTCTACTTTTTCTGATACCTAATAAAATTATAATTCTGCCAGTCAGAGACGATTCCAGAAAAATTTTGAACTTCTTGTATAGGATCATGTTTCTTAGTGGCTTTCTTCCACCTTTTCAAGTCTAACACATAGAATTATCCAATTGACATTTGTTTAGCCCTCTGCTGTGTAAACAAAGACAAATACAAGTTATGTTGTGAAATTTTTTTTTATAATTTCATTTACTGAGTTAAAGCTTTTAGGTAGGAGTCAACAGCAGACTAGTCAAGGATCCTGTAGAAACAAGTGTTTTCAGATTACAAGAGAATGATTGTGTTTTTGCATGAATTATGTCTTTTAATCCTTAAAATGATAGTAGTAGCTAATATTTATTGCAATGCCTACCATGGATGAGGCAGTATGTACTTTTCTGAGATTATCTCATTTAATCCTCCAATTACCTAAGAAGGAATACTTATATTATCTCCACTTTATAGATGCAGAAACTGAGATATGACAAAGTTAGAGAGGGATCCCTTTTCAAAAAGTGAGTAAAATGAGATATAAGACTGTATCTGACTTGCATAAGAGAGACTGATTATTATGGAACTTAAGACAGAGGAGGGAGTCTGGTCTGAACCAGTCACCTTATGCCCTGTCTGTTCACTGGTAAGTTCAAAGACTCACTATTATTTGAGTCATGACCTTGAAAGTAAATGTGATCAAAATGATCCCCCCAAAGTGTGTCTACACCCAAACATTCTAATTACTACAAGTACAACAGCTGTTAATTTTCATCTCCTAATTTAATTAGTGCCATTATGATTTTCCTTAAATTCAGTAAATTGAGAAAAAGTAAAAATACTATCTTTGATGACTGACAAATGGTAAATGCATAATAAATCTTAGTTTTGAGATGGAGTCAATAAAAGTTAAACACCAAATTCAAAGCAGAAGATGCACTAGGTCCCCAGTAATCTTTCTCCAGTGTTCTTGTGCAATGTGAAGCTCTCTAAATGTTTGCATAAGTTCAGGTACAGCTTGACTTCAAATTATCATCTTAGTTACGTTATGCTAAAAAGAAACAAATGATAAAATCTAGTACTGAGTGGAAAGTGGAGGCAGGGGTACACTTTAATTCCCATTCACAGATCACAGTGACTCACTGCTGAGAAATATTTTAATCTTATATTCATGCTAACATCTGACCCCAAATGACTTGCCTTTTGTGGTACACCCCGAGGAAAATGTCCAATAATGGAAAACAAACATTTGTAATTGGCTAAGTATTCCCTTGAAAGAGATTATAAAAAGTGAAAGTAGGAGACTATGCATCGTTCTCTCTTCTTTTTTTTTTAGCATAGACATATTTTTTATAATGTTGTTAGTTAAAAAGGAAAAAAGTTACAGCAGTAAAAAGGGGCTGCCTCTTGGTGTTAGTTGCTTGAAGTATAATTTATTTTTAACCACATTGTCTTGCATTTATAGGCACTTGAATTTAAGATCTTTCAACATACTATCTCTGGACTGTTTCCTGTGTAATCGGTACAAATATGTGTGTCATTGCTTTTGGAATAAAAGCCAGTGGTTTTTATTTTGATCAATCCCCAGAAATGTGCCTTGGGAAAGAAGTCCCTATATAAAGGCTGAGGAATCTAAACTATTACGGATGCAGAACAATTATGAATAAATTTGTTGTACTCACACAAAAAAAGGCTACTGACTTCATCCAACTTGAGAAAGAAAAGACAGCCCACGAGCATTCCTCAAATAATGGTATTAGTTTCATTCAGCACTTAGTAGGCATTCAACCCCTGAATAAATAAAACAAGCTCATAAGAATCCCAATAACTCAATAGGGCAAAAGAAGTTTAGCCAAAGGTTTGTATGTAGACGTTATACTGTTATAGGTGATTAGGTAGTGAATATTTATTTAAAAAACTTCAAAAAAGTCTAGTGTGTACTGGGGCTAGTGAAAGGCCTTTGCTTTAAATAAATCTTTCCATTCATTAAAGTGTTTTTACACTGAGGGCTCTATTCAGAAATGGAAAATTTCTTAATGGATGAATGACTGACAGATTTAACTGACTATCTAATGCTGTCATAATGGGACCCATTTAATAAATGTCCCCAGACAAATGGCATTATGAAGTTAAGCTGGGATATTGCATCTTAAACATTAGATCAAAGATCTGTTCACTGCAAAATGAACCACAAGAAAATGAGGTATGCTGTTCAAATCCCAAGCAGACCTCAGCTTTCAACATGTCCTTAAATGACTTAGGCTCTTTCATCCCAGGTCCTAATCTACAGAATGGGCTTGACTTTGCTGTTATCATACCTCACAGTGGTGATCTGAGGATTATATGATACAGGTAAAGTCCTTAGGATAGGGCCTGGTACCTAGTAGATTTTCAATAAATATTCACTGCTGCTGTTGCGATTTGCTAAAATGCTTCTCAACCAAAACGTTAAACAGATATTGTCGTGGAAACAAGCTACTGTTCTATTTCTGTCCTCAATACTCTATCACTTTCATTTTGATTTTACTCTTTTGGCCTTTGTATTATATACTCCTGGACCTTAAAGAATTCAATTATGAAAGGGCTGTACATGTTACATTAAAATGATATTTTATGGCCGGCCCCATGGCTTAGTGGTTAAGTGTGCGTGCTCCGCTACTGGTGGCCCGGGTTCGGATCCCTGGCGCGCACCGACGCACCGCTTCTCCGGCCATGCTGAGGCCGCGTCCCACATACAGCAACTAGAAGGATGTGCAACTATGACATACAACTATCTACCCGGGCTTTAGGGGAAAAAAAAAAGGAGGAGGGCTGGCAATAGATGTTATCTCAGAGCCGGTCTTTCTCAGCGAAAACAGGAGGATTAGCAGGGATGTTAGCTCAAGGCTGATCTTCCTCAAAAAAAAAAAAAAGAGATATTTTGTTATTTATGATAAATATATTCCAGGCACTGTTCTCAATATTTCCCTATATTGACTCATTTTATTGTTATAGCTACTATTATTACACTAATAAGTAGCGACTATTATTATACAAATTTTACAGATGAGGAAACTTGAGACTCCAACACATTAAATAATTTGTTCCAAATGACTTAGCTTGTGAGTGGAGGACTCAAGAATTACACCCAGGCAGTCTCTATCCGTAGCCTCTTAACCCCTGTGCTCCTTGAAATATTTTTGTTGCTATTGTTGTTGTTCATGAAAATCAGCAGCCATGTTCTTTAAAAATGTTTTAATTTTAAAGCCTAATTTTTAAGTGATAATTTTGTCATATGGTTGTCTTGCCCAGACTCAGATATCATACTCTTTGGGGAAAAAAAAATGTTTTAATCTGGAAAAAAACAAAGGGCAGTGAGTGATGCATGTATTTCTTCAAACAACACAATAGTTGTATACAGAAGCAAGAAAACACGATGCCTTAATTCATGATCTGCTTTCAAAATTTATGGGTTATTTTATTAATCTTGCAAAACTCACTTGAGGAAAGATGTTTGCAGCAAGGCACAATTCTTTGGTATAACATGAGAAAACCTGACTTGATTCTCTTTACTGTCGGATAGGGTGAGCCCTTTTGTGATACTGTATACGTTGCTAGTAACCTGTTTCAGTAGTACTATCTACTTCGGAATTCTCCTTTTCAGCCAGGGGACCCTTGACAGGAGTGAATAGTATTCCTTGGGAAAAAATAAAGCACCAAAAGTTTCTAGCTCTTGCTGAAAACAACACTTGCTGAAACCAGTTTGCAGATTTAAAATGAAAAAAACTTTATCCTTCTCCCAGCTCTGTAATCCTTGATGCTTTCAATATTTGAAAAAAAATAGGAAGAAATATAGTATTAGAAATGATTAGGTCATGAAATTAGTGTTAGCCCTTAATATATTATAATGATGTTTCTGTTTATTTCAAAATTTGAGTTGAGTTGTTGCCAATGTACATGAGTAGAATAAGACTAAATATTTTTGGCATGATCAATGGCTTAAATAAAAATACACTTGGCAGAGATTCTCACAATCCCATATGTGAATTTGTCATGACACTTACCACACTGTAAACAGTATTCGTGTGCCTGTCTCTCACTCCCTTTAAGATCTTTGAGGAAAGGATTCTGGTTTTGTTCATTTTCATATCCTAAAGGTCTACATAGTATCTGGCTTGTATTATGCACTAAAGAAAAATTTGCTGAATGTATGCATAAAAGATTGATGCCAAACTTAATTCGACAAGCTTTGTGAATATCTACTACATGCTACATATTATGATGGGGGACACAAAGATGAATAAGTGGTTCTCTGTGCCTTAAAGAGCTCACTGTCTAAGGAGGAGATAATACAAATAAGTGTATGTGGTAGATGAGCTGTAAAAGAGACACATGGGGTGCTGTGGGATTACAGAAGCACCTGGAGAAACTGTGAGGGGCAGTGCAGGGAAGGTTTCAACAGAGGTGCTAAGTTTCTTTAGGTAGAGATGGGAGGGGGAGGTTGGGATAAATAAGGGAGTTTGGATGGTGGATGGAGTAAATGTAGACAAAATCTTAAATCACTGTGTGTTTGAGGAACAAAATTAGTTTGATATTGTTGGAATGACTTTTTAATTTATTTACTGTAATCTTATGTTATAAATGTATTGGTATTCTATTATGTGATATATAATATGAAGTCATTTAATTATAAACACAATGTATCTCTATATCTTTTACTGAATGACAATTTTCTTTTTGAATTGCAGTTCCAGTTACAAATGTTTGATATCATTTGTTCCACATCGTGGGCCAATAGAGACAAGTGCTGTGAACTTCCAGGCCTGGTAAGAATTCTTTCATTATTTGGTCTGTTCTTTATTGAAATTTTCTATAGTTATATTTAATTTTCTCTGGAAATCAAATGCTATTTTGCAAGATTTATATCAGACATAATTCATTGTGATGATAATGAAAATTAAAAAGAGGTTAAGAAGCAGGCATGTCTGAAATCAGCAGGACACACTGACATACGCAGTGGGAACCACACAACTCCAGGGGGTGCCGTTGTCCACATGTCCCCAAAGTTCCTGGCTCATGAAGCCTTTACTGCTGAGATAATTTTTTTCATAGCACCCCTAAGCCAAAAGAAATACCTAACAATTCCACATATGAAGTAATTATGTCCAAACATCTTAATAAGTGTTTATGTCCTAACAACTCAGTAGCCATAAGAAAAAATAATACACATAAATCGAAAAATAATATATTATTTTATTCTTTAATAACCACAATTACTTACTAATGGGATGTGTGTGCCTATTGAGAATACACAATTTCTCCTATCTTGGAATCTGATTGGATGTCACCATCCTCACTTCTTTTTCTACAATGATTTTTCCCATGGTACTTGCTTTCCATTGCAGCGACTGCCAGAAATCCAGTTTTGCAAATATAAGACATCATCAAAAAAAGTATTTTAAAATCTAATGTTGAAACTATGAACTACCTTGATCTAGTTGTTCATACAAAATCCAATGGGTGCCAAATATTGCTGATTCTCTTGAGTTTTTAAAACATTCACAGTGCCTCTGTGAATTTGCTATGGTGCCCCAGGGCATCTTGGCACACAGTTTTGGAATTGTAGTCATAATCTATGTAACCTATGTGATGCTACTAGAAAACCAAACCTTTTCTCATTATTAAAAACAAGTGTAATTCACGGTGGTATACCTGTATATATAAACACAGATTCATATCTTAGGATCCTTAGGGCCAGTGAGCTGAAATAGATGAACCTGTCATGGTTGCACAGTACATGTCTTCATAATTAAACCTGGAGAATGGACATGGAGAAACCTTCATAAAGTCTAAGAGATTTGCCTTTTTAAGATCTTACACCAGATCAAATCATCTATTGCAGGCAGTAAATTCATGGTGACTATGTTTGAGAAAGAAATAACTTACTCTTTTTCCATCAAAATAAATTTCACAGTAAACTCTGGTGAGGAATTAAATCAATGACACTGTAATGTTATGCTTACGTGCAGGTAGATCGGAAATCAGAAGGGGAAACATACAGAGTCCTTTGCTGTATCAAGCAAAATGTGATCATCACTTCTAGGAAGGACCCAGGCCTTATCAGAGTTTTTCTTTTCATTTCTATCACTGAAGATGTGTAAATTCCACAGTAGGAAGGCAAGGATGGAGACATAGTCAACAGCAATGGCAAAACCATTACTGAGTCTCTGGTCACAGGAGGCCTGCTGTCAGCCTTATTTGGGGGATCTTTCAGGATGCTTAAGTTTGAACTTCACTCTAGCTGCCCAGATATCAGATGTGTTAGCAGGGATTTTTCCTGTAATGAGCTGAAAGCTTTAACTATTGTCCAACATTTAGAGAAAAGCATGTACAGTACATACAGGCCCTTTGCTCAGCCTTTTTTGGGTTTCCATTGTGAATATTTTAGAGACTGAGATTATTTTCAACTTAATAATTTAATTATCATCCGTGCTCCATCCCCTCTAACTTTCCTTTCCCCCAAAGTCTTAAATAATGAAGCTCATTTTCTATTTATCCAAAGAGACTGAGGAACCCTATGAAGTTCTACAGTTTCTTATCCCAGTGCAGACTTCTTTTTGGCTACTACTCCGAATGGGATACTCACAGATTGTTCACTAGCTGTTAGCAGGTGCTCTGTCTTCCTCTACACTCCAGCAACTCATTCAGATATATGCAGCCTGACATTCATAATCTATCTTGTAATGTCACATAACAACGGAATTCCCCAAGAGGAGAAAAATGGCCTCCTATCCCAAAGCTTTAGATTGATGATGTCATGTTTTTCTTATTTTCAGCCATAGAATGTAAGCAGTAAAAATTGTTAAGAGGAAACTGATGATGCCTTTAAGCACTGTTTTTATTTTGTTTTGTTTGTTTGCTTTAGTATAGATGCAGTTATTTTGATTGACTTTTCCAACAAGTTTTCTTTTATCCTTTGAAATGGAAAAAATATTGTAACACAAAGAAAGTTTTCAGGACCTTTAGTTCATAGAAAACTACTACTTCGCTGAGTTAAATAGTAACCAGGATTCCTTTGTATCCACTTCTGCCTTTCTTTCTTCACCTAAATTCCCAAGCTGGTTTTGTCAACATCCTTTGATAATGATGAGTATCAATGACTCACTAGACAACCATTCATTTTTCTTTAAAGAAAAGATTTTGTGGTCAAGAGAAAATATTCTCTGGCTTTCTAGACTAATACTCACTTAAAAACTTTTTAAAAGTGTCTTAAATCACAGTGTTTTCTTTGAGTCCATAAAGCCATTTGTATGGATGGTCTTGTTAACAGTTATGCTATTTTTTTCTCCCCAGAGGGACGAGGACACCTGCCCAGAGCTTCCACATTCCTGCTCCTGTTCTGAAATCAGTAAAGGGGCTCTGGGACCAGCAGGCCCACCAGTAAGTCTTGCCTCGTTTGGGCTTAAATGTTCTTTAATATTTATAGCTATCACTTGTTGCTTGTCTAATATCTGCTCACCACTGTGCTAAACACTTATTTGCTTAATCCTATGAGCAAACTGAAGCAAAGAGATGTTAAGTAACTTGCCTGAAGAACACAGCTTGGAGGAGCTGCTCTTCAAGTTCAGGTCCTGTGTCTCCGATAGGTGGCGCTCGTATAGGTGATACTATGCCATACTATCTCTCACATTGCTATATATTCAAAATCTTCCCTTTAGATTCCTGGGGTTGATTTTCAGTGTGACTGTTCCAAACATTGGCCCTCTACTTCAACCTGCAAGATTTGCATACCTTCCCTTTGCCCATTCTGTGTCAAAATTTACATGTAAAGGGAGGATTTCAGATTCACCAGGAAAAGTACCCCATCTGAGCATGAAGTTCTGCACCACTAACTGGAACTTCCTAGAGAAAAGAAGAGAGAAAGAGAGAGAGAGAAGGAAGGAAGGAAGGGAGGGAGGGAGGAAGGAAAAATGGAGGGAAGAAGGATGGGGGAGGGAAAGAAAACATGTTTGTAAAATATAAAATGTATATAATTACACTATCTGGGTCTCTGAATTTACCATGATAAATCCTTTGTAATATGTTTAAATGCTTTATCAGTATTTCTTTAAGACAAGTATGATATAGCTGGTCTGTGGTTAGGAAATGGCAAATGTATCAAGGCAGAAAGGTGCAGAAAGAAGATGCACAAGCAAATAAAGAAATCTAGACCTTGCAGGAGGAATATTGTGATGCCCAACCAGTCTTTGCTTGTTGGCTTGCCAGAGGCAGCCAAGCTCAGTCAGCATGCGTGCAGTAGATGACCCACGCTGACAGCTGGCTTCAGTGTCAGAGTTCACTCCAGGTTGGCCCTACCAACATGATTTTCCTTCATTTCTGTACCTCATTTCCTGATCTGAACAAAAAGGAAGAGAACCTGCTGAATGTATCTGAAATACATCCCAGCAGTTTCTCCTTTGTCTTTGGCACACAGAACATTCTTTCAAACTCTGAATATAGAACCCAAATACTTTTTTTTTTTTTTAAACAAAAGACTCTTAATCCTGAAGAAGCAAGTGTGCAGTAATGGTAAAAGCATTAAATTTAACTCCTTAGACAAGGGAAGTCACTGAACCGTTGTGGCGAACCTCCATTTCCTCATATATAAAACAGCACCCACCCCTTTAAATGGTATTGTGAGGAATACATAAGGTAATGTGTATACAAGTATTCTGTGCGTTATAAAACTTGAATCAAATGTAAGGAGTTGTCTAGTTTAATCTGAGAATTGAAAACAAAGATTTATTTTCAACTGTGTGCAGCTTGCTTTTTTTCACCCAAAAGTATGTCTTTGAACTTTATCAAAGTTAATGAGCATTGTTTAGTTTATTTATTGTACTTGCTGTAATGTATTCCATTACATAAACTACAGTTTATTGACCCATTACTGTGCAGTATTTCCCTACTACAAACATTGCTACTGTGAACATCCTTTGTATGTCTCTTGTCAAACATGAGTGAGTGCTCTAGAAATAACACTGAGAATCAGATTTGTGGGATAATAAGGAAAGTACGTCTTCAATTTCATGAAGAAACCACAAATTGCTCTTCAAGGTGGTTGTACCAATATCCTCTCCCACAAACTCTGAGTAAGAGATCTGGCTTCTCTGCATCTCACCAGCTCTGTCTGATGTTGCCAGATATGAGAGTGTTTGTTTATCTGATGACTGCAAAACCCTATGTCATTGTTATTTTAAATATGACTTTCCCTCTCTGCTAATGACATTGGGCCCTTTCTCATTTGTTTGTAAGCCATTTGGATTTCTTCCTGTGTAAATACCTGTTTATAAACTTTGCTGGGTTTTTTGTTGTGCAAGTTTTTTTCTTGTTGATTTGTAGGTGGTTTTATGTATTCTAGACACTAATCCTTGTTAATGATGTGGTTCGCAAATATCTCTTCCTGGTCTGTGGCTTGCTTGTTGTTTATGGGAATTTATATTGTATAGAAATTTTAATTCTGATGTAGTTAAATTTAATATTTCTGTGAGCTATCATCTTTTATATTTTTCTTTATTCCTTCTTTTAGCCCTGATTTACTTAGAAGTGTCTTTTTATTTTTATTAAAAAACATTTTTTATTGAGGTATAATAAGCATACGTTATATTAGTTTCAGGTGTACAACATAATGATTCGGTATTTGTATATATAGCAAAGTGATCACCACAGTAAGTCTAGTTAACATCTGTCACCACAGATAGTTACAGAATTGTTTTTTCTTGTGATGAGAACTTTTATGATTTACTCTCTTAGCAACTTTCAAATATGCAACACAGTATTATTAATTATAGTTGCCGTGCAGCTATGTACATTACATATATGTGACCTACTTATTTTATCACTGGAAGTTTGTACCTTTTGACTCCCTTCATCCATTTTGCCTACCCCACACCTCCTGCCTCTGACAACCAGTAATCTATTCTCTCTCTTTATGAGGTTGTTTTTTCTTTTTTTTTATAGTCCACATATAAGTGAGATCATACGGTATTTGTCTTTCTCTGTCTGATTTATTTCACTTAGCATAATGTCCTCAAAGTCCGTCCATGTTGTCACAAATGGCAAGATTTCATTCTTTTTTGTAGCTGAATAATATTCCATTGTGTAGATACACCACATTTTCTTTATTCATTCACTCATCGATGGACACTTAAGTTGTTTCTATATCTTGTCTATTGTAAATAATGCTGTAATGAACATAGGGCTGTATATATCTCTCCAAGGTAGTGTTTTCATTTTCTTCAGATAAATACCCAGAAGTGAGATTGCTGGATCACCTGGTAGTTCTATTTTTAATTTTTGAGGAACCTCCATACTGTTTTCCATAGTGGTTGTACCAGTTTACATTCCCACCTACAGTGCACAAAGGTTCCCTTTTCTCCACAAAAGTGTCTTAAATTTCCAATCATATATGTGATTTTTGTTATCTTTTCTTTATTGACATGTTAATTTTATTGCACTTGATTAGGGAAGACAGTCTGTATGGTACCAATTCTTTGACATTTTTTGATATTTGCTTTGTGGCCTTTTGTCAAGTTGTACAGATGTTCCATGTATGCTTTAGAAGAAAGTGTGTTCTCTAATTGTGGAGCTCAGATTTCTATATGTAAATACCCAGTAATCAAATTGTTAATTGTGTTGTTGAAGTCTTCTTTATCTGTACTAATTCTTTATCTTTTAATTACTGAGAAAGATGTTTAAAATCTTCTCCAATTGTCAATTTTTTCAAATTCTCTTTGTAATTCTGCATTATATATCCTGACATTGTATTATAATGTGCAAAAAAAAAAAAATAGAACCATTATCTTACTAGTGACTTGCTATGTCAATATTTCTCTTTTGGATTATTTTCTTGGTATATATTTTCTTCATCCTTTTAGTTTCAACCTTTCCATGACTTATATTTTAGATGTGTCTCTTTAAACAGCATATGCCTGGATTTTGTTTTTAATCAGACTTTACAAGTTTTGTTTTTAGTCCTTTTTTGTTGTTTGTGACAATTGACCTACTTGGGTTTACATTTCTATATCCATTACCTTAATCTTTGCTTTCTATTTGTCCCACATAATATATGTGGCTTTCTTGGTGTATTGAGGTTTTATTTATCTATTCACACTTTTTGGCTTTTTGCTTTTATTCTGTCTTTTCTTTTCCCCTCCACTAGTTTGGAAATTATACTCTCTATGACTATTTTTTTTTTTTTTTTGGTGAGGAAGATTGTCCCTGAGCTAACATCTGTGCCCATCTTCCTCTATTTTGTATGTGGGACTCTGCCACAGAATGGCTTGATGAGTGGTGTGTAGATCTGCGCCTGGGATCCAGGCAACCTGCAAACCCCCGGCCGCTGAAGCCAAGGGCACAAACTTAGCCACTATGCCACTGGGCCAGCTCCCTCTGTATCTGTTCTTTTAAGAGTTAACTTTTTTTCTGTAGACATATCTAGCTTGACAAAATCTAAAAATAATCAAGATTTCTCCCCTTCTTTCTTTTTTTTTTAACTTTATTTATTTATTTATTTTTCCCCCAAAGCCCCAGTAGATAGTTGTACGTCATAGTTGCACATCCTTCTAGTTGCTGTATGTGGGACGCAGCCTCAGCATGGCCGGAGAAGCGGTGCGTCGGTGCACACCCGGGACCCAAACCCGGGCCGCCAGCAGCGGAGCGTGAGCACTTAACCTCTAAGCCACGGGGCCGGCCCGTCTCTCCCCTTCTTTCAACCAACATGATATTCTTGGAATTCTTTTCTCTTGGATCATCCTTTTTATAATTTATGTGCTGTTGCTATCCAGTATTTTAGTACTTTTTTAACATCACAAATTAAACTGATAAGAACAGATACTACACTTGATCTGAGCCAAAAGGCTGAGAAGCAATAATAATATCACAAATTAGATATTTTGTTATTATTACTTGTTATAAATTAATGCGTTAAGACTTGCGTACATATTTGCTATTTCTTTGCTCACCATGTCTTCTGGGATCATTTTTATTTTTCCTAAAGTACATCCTTTGGATGTTCCTTTAATGAGAAACTATCGGTAGTAAATTTTCAGTTTTTGTGCATCTGAAAATGCTTTTATTTCCCATGTTATCAAAAGATAGTTTTGATGGTTGTTACAGATATTGCTAATTGTCCCCCATATTCATTGCCACTGCTTATTTTTAATAATAGAATCCCCTGAGTTTTAGCCAAGTACATGGCCGTTCATCTAGGGACTTGATGTCTTAGCACCTATGCAAGTAAGTATGACCTTATGACTAAGTTCCAGCTAATGAGAGAGAGGGTATATGCAATCTCCCTGGATGTTGTTCTTCAGTGAAAGCAAATGTCCTCCTTAACCATTTTCATCCTTCTCAACAGGTTAGAATGGGAACATGTGGTAGTGAGTTCACTTTGATAAGTGATGTCCTAGGGCCTAGCAGAACAATAAGATAGAAGCAACTGAGATTTCACACTGCCTTACATAGTAAAGCTACTGTACTATTTTGGATCAGCCATCACCTCAGATTTTAATATAAGAGAATAATAAACCTCCTATCTTGCTTAAAACTTTTAATATTGATCTCAGATAAGCAGCCAGACAACTTTCCAAACTAATAAACTGCAGGTACAATTCTAGATTAACAGTTATTTCTCTGAGCACGTAGTAGATGCTACTATACTGTTTTATAGCTTCCATTGTTGCTATTGAAAAGTCAGCTGTCAGCCTAATTAATTGTCTTCTGTGGGAAATCTTTCCTCCCTGAGTGTTTTCAAGATCCCTTTGTCTTTAGCCATCTGAAGTTTCACTACACTATGTCTTGGTGTGGATTTTTGTTATTGTTGTTGTTTTGCCTTTTTAGAAATTTTGAGGCTTCTTGAATTTGAATATCAATGTTTCTCATTAAATTTGAAGTATGCTTAGTCATTATCTCTTCGAATATTGCCTCTCTCCTGTCATCTCCATTGTGTTTTTCTAAAACTCTAACTAGTAGTAGTAGTAGTACATTATGACTTCTAATTTTCCTCTCATGTCTCTTAACTTCTCTTGTTTATTTTCTATTTGTCTCTCCATGCTTCATTCTGTGTAATTTCTTCAAATTTATCTTCTGGTGTATTCTCTGTTTAGCTATGTTTAATACGCTCTTTAACCTATCCATTGTGTTTCTGATTTTGATTATTATATATCAGATCTAGAAGTTATATTTGGTTCCTTTTTAAACCTGGTCATTTGTATACTCTCTTCTTTTGTAACACTTTCAAAACTATTTTTCCTTTAAATATATTAATTACAGTTTATATTCTTTATCTGATCATTTCAATATCTGCAGGGTATGTGGTTCTGATTCTGCCATTTGGTTTTCTGCTGATTTTACTCATGCTGTCTTGTTTTGAGGTGTATTTTGTGATTCTTTTTTTGGTGTCTATTTGAGTTCCTATTACTTGAAACTTTTTTTTTTTTTTTTTTTTTTTTTTTTGTGAGGAGATCAGCCCTGTGCTAACATCCGCCAATCCTCCTCTTTTTTTGCTGAGGAAGACGGCCCTGGACTAACATCTGTGCCCATCTTCCTCCACTTTATATGGGACGCCGCCACAGCATGGCTTGCCAAGCAGTGCGTCGGTGCGCGCCCGGGATCCGAACCAGCGAACCCCGGGCTGCCGCAGCGGAGCGCGTGCACTTAACCGCTTGCGCCACCAGGCCAGCCCCGAAACTTTATTTCTGAGACTATTTTGAGCCTGTGTTTGAACTGTAGTCCTCCAGAGAATATCTTTGCTTGCTCCTGCTAAGCTTCTGGGTATACAACCAACCTTAGGGTTTGACTTTGGAGTTTTGTTTGATTCACAAGCAGTTAAAATCTGGTCCCTAGATCGTATGAGAATCAGCTTCTGGGGAATATTTCTTGGCAGAGACATTTCCTACGCCTCCCGTACCTAAAGTGGAAACAACGTCTTGGTAATCCACCTGCTAGCGGGCCTTTTTTTTTTCTAGCTCATTCAGAGTACAGCCTTTCAAGTTCCTCAGCTTTAAAGAATGTTTCATCTTCTACCCTCTCCCCGCCTATCATAGGCCCAAGTTCGCATTTTGTTGCCTTGTGTGGGCTATAAAATACAAGCTTTGCAGCAAACCTCAGCTGTCTTCCCCATCCTCCCCCAGGGTAGTCTCAGTGCACCTGCCTCCTGCCCTGGTTTTTATGTTTTGTCTTGATTCCTGTACTTAAGGATTCAGTTCTTAATTACAACAATGTTTATTTTAGTTTAAACAGCATTAATAAGCTTTTTTAGCTGGAGGGTTTTCAAGTTTTTTCATCTGCAATACTGCTGGAACAACTTATGAAATATTTACATATGACCTAAGAGTCAGAGTTTGTAATGAGAAAAAAGCAACAGAGAAGTGAGAGAGAAGGGTTGATCTCTGACTTGGAGGAGAAGATGTATAGTAGAAAAACTATTGAAATTTTCAAATATTTAAAGTATAATAAACTATTGAAGAAATAGTGTCCCAAAAATATGTAATAAACCCTGTCTGATGATTTAACATAATTGTAATTATTTTCTCGTTCAGGAATTTACACAGTATTATTAGGTGCCAATAAGACTGTAGAAGAGCTGGAGGGAGACGTGGGTGAAAGAACCACATTCCTTTGCCTAGACTAACTCTTTCTTCTTAAAAGGATGAAATTTTACATCCAGAAAAATTTTTTGAATTCTTGTCATGTACTCAGTGATGAATTAGGGATCAGATGGAAAATAACTTAGAAGTATAAAATGGTCCCTGGTTTTTAGACCAGTGCCTCTGGCATGAATATCTGTGAGTCAACTAGTCATATTTGAACAAAACTTTCCACTAAAAACCCATCATTTAAGAGGCACAAACAAAATTAAAGAGTTGTGCCAAACTGGGTATGTTAATTAGGATGCCTTAGACTTGCTGCAAGGAACAGAAAATTTGATTAGTAAAGTGGTGTAAACCATTAGGACATTTGGACATTCATTGTTTGCTCAACCAAAGATTTAGAAGTAGATGGTCCCAAAGGCAAATGAGCCCAGTCAACAATTTCATCAATGACCCAGATTGATCCAGCTTCCCAATTTGCTTTCCTTAGACTTGTTGCTTCTTGATCAAATTGGCCCGAACTGGTTCACATGGCCATTCCTGGTTGCAAAAGATGCTGGGAAAGCAAATCTTTTTTTAGCCTTTATAGTAGGAGAAATAAAATGGAGAAGGGAGTCAGGGAAACTCTTTGGTAGCCAACCAACAGTGTCTCCCACACTGGGGAAAAATATTTGCATCACCTATAACAGTTGAAGGTGTAGTATCTAAGTGTATGAAGAATTTCTGCACATCAAAGAGACACGCAACCAATAGAAAACTGAGTAAAGTATATAAATAGGGAGTTTCCTTGAGATAAAATGTAAATGGACAAATGTTATGAAAAGATGCTCAATCATACTAGTTTTCAGGGAAAATAAAATTAAAATAAGAGTAAGGTATTATTTTTACCAATTAAGTTGGTAAAAATGTAAAGTTTGACAATATCAGGTGTTGACTAATGTTTGGAGAAACAGGAACCTTCTTAAACTCTTGGGAGATGAATAAATTGGCATAGCTTTTCTGGAGCACAATTTGACAATATATCTGTATATGCATCAAATTTCATTTATAGTTCTACTTGTTGATATCTTAAATATTAACATTTGTACTTAACGGATGTTTCAGGATATTAATTACTGTATTGCTTAAACAACAAAAAATTGTGGGGAAACCCTCTACATTTCCAATTATAGGAAATGATTAAACTATTATATATCCATGGTTTGGATAACTATGCAATTCATTAAGAATAAGTTAGGTCCACATGTTATGTCATGGAAAAATCTCTAAAACATATTAAGTTAAAAAACTCAGAACTATATAAAAAGTGTGATATCACACATGCAATCTATTATATATCAATACCGCAAAAATTCTGTATGTAATATTTTTTATAGATACACATGCATAAAATGCAATTTTATAATTATGTATAAAAACTCTGGAAGATAAGCAACCAACTGATATTGGGGAGGGGAGTGAATTTAAGTGGTTAAAAAAAACTGGAAGAAACCACAAAGATCACCTGATTCAGTCTTTTCCCAAGTGATGCAATCTGATGTGCACAAAATGATTGTCAGTAGTCATGGGCATAGCAGGAAATAAATTGGAATCACACAGTGAGAAAGCTATTCCATCTTCAATGATCTTTTAATCCTTCTGCTCAGGTGAAAGAGAAATTCTCAGGCTGGTGCCCATGTGGCCTAATACTTACTCATCTCTCTTTTTAACAAAAAGCAAACCCACAGCTCCCAGACTTCGATAGGAACAAAATGTAGCTAAATTTAATAACATTATTTATAGTATATTTTTAAGGTTACTTTCTGTTCTTAGTAATTAATACCTTTTTCCATTTACAGTACTGCTATAATATTCGCTTTTAAAATGTTTATTTAAGTGAAATAATGAGTCAATTAAAAAATATTCAAAGGGTATATATGCACGTATATACAAAGAATGTATGTTCGCAAAGAATACATATATACTCTATGTGTTTATTATGTGTGTTCATATATTTCTATGTAAAGAAAAATGCTGTTAAGTAATAATGCAGGTGGTACAGTAAAATGGCAAAAGTCTTGAGAGGAAATGCAAATAACTGAAGTTTCAGAAACACTAATTAGCTTTTTATGGTGTAAATAAAGAAAATTAAATTGTTACTATTTTCTTATGCCTTTTCCAATTTAATTAAATAATTTAATCTCAAAATTGTGGTATAAAACACACACAATTTTAGGCTAACAGTATTTTATTACTTGAATCCATTAATAGCAGCAGTCCTACATCACTAAAAAAAATCCTATAATTTTTTTAATTTAAAAGGATTTGGCATCAAAAGTTTGCTCAAAGTATGAAATCATCAGCAGGGAGAGCTGAATCTGGGTGGCAAATTTCCAGTTACGGATCGTGATGAGCATATACCGTTACACAATGTGTTGGCTTTGATACAAAATAAAAATTACATAATCCGTATTGCTAAAGAAAATACATGCAATATACTGCTTTAAGATGTGTCTTTGTGCTAATATTTAACATCTGTTTGCCAGGGTGGTCCAGGACTCCGAGGACCAAAGGGTCAACGAGGTGAACAGGGCCTCAAGGTAATGTTCTCTCTCTCTCTTTCTCTCTGACACACACACACGTAACTAGACATAATATAATTTTGGACTTAAGTACTACTTTTTGCAATCTAAAGCTCCTTACAGTTTTATGAACGCTGTGGCTAAGCCTTTTCCCTTATTCTTAAAGACTTGCACATTTTCATCAAAAAATATTTAATAACTTAGTGAAAAGAAAAGTTCCTGGGTCAGAAATAGAGTGTCATTGTTCTTATTGGTTTAGTTGACAAGGTAGTTCTCTCGTACATTCTTCTCTTCCTCCGTCTACACCAAAGATGTATCTTTAGGAGAGCACTGGATCACAACTAGGCAGCAGTCCCCCTCAGGTAATTTCTCAGGTTTTAGATTCTTCCTTGTCCCTTCCTACCATGTATAATCAAACACACAGCTCTATTTTCCACTCTCACTGTCCAAGGCCACCGAGTGTGGTGGTTCAAGTTGTACACTGTACAAAGGCACCAACCAAGAGGACCAAACCGTGCCAGGCCATGTCAAGGCACATGTTTTCTTACTTTGCACAAAGGCGCCCTAAGGGGTGGCAGAAGCTCAGCCACTAATTGAGTTCAGGCCTCACCATCTTCTATCTGGTTTTTGGCAAATCTTCTAACTGGTCTCCTGGCTCCAGTGGCTTGATTTTCTCATTAATTCTTCACATCTGCTCCCAGATTCATTTCTTTAAAGTTATGCTGGGTCATACTCTTAAAACCTGCAGTCATATGCTATTGCCTTGTGAATACAATCCACCCTCCTTGGTATGTCATTCAAGGCCCTATATAATTTGACTCTCTATCTCATTTTCACCATGTTGCTCCTCATGATCTCCTCTCCATCCATCTTGCTTGATTTACTGCTTCAATGTGGTTACTTATTAAATCTGTGTAGTATTTATTCATGGAGAAGAGAACACTGCAAGGTTTCTTACTATAAAATTGGAAACAAGCAAAGCAGTGTAGAAAAGAATGTGGAGAAAAAAAGAAGTAAGGGAAAGAAGCCTGAAAATAATTAATCAGGCACTACTAGCCAACTCAAAACTCAAACCAGAAGATGTCTCCTTTTTTTTGGTTTGTTTTATTTTCTGAGATTGTGACACATTTTCTCAGGCAGAAACTTGATGTATCTTACTTGGCTCCATCTCTCATGTGCTACAAGGGAAGCCAGTGGTTTGAAAGCCTCTTCTCAGACAATGATACGCTGGGTCTTCCTGAGCTCATGAGCTCCTGCAGATTCTGGGTCCCTCCTCCCAACACCTCTAACACCATCATCCCATTGCTTTTCTAACTTTCTCGCTGGATGATGGTTCTGATTATGAAGACATAGTAGGAGTTCGTAGGTGTTTGATGATCTCAAGATTACCCCTTTCCTCTAATAATCCATTCCCCCATGACCACTACTGATGTGGTAATTTCTGTATGATGATTCTGATGAAGCACAGATACAAGTATGTAGCGGTTGTAGGAAAAAGTTTTGTTGGACAAAGGATGCTCACATGTCCACCAGTGCAGACAGTGTAGGAACAGATAAACTATACTGTCCAAATGGAAAGCTCCAATAAGTATTATTTCTCATTTTGTAGCTTCGTATTTCAGTTGCAGCAAATAGATAATAAGAATTTAGGAGTTTGAAACCACCCTGTCACTGGTCTCTTCTAGTTATTTTTGTCTCATACTTTACAGAATAAAATGGGACCACCTCCTTTCTGTCCTTCTACTCCATTCTCAATTCCTCAATAATATACAAGTGATTTGTTATTAAGCTATTATAAATATTAAGTAATATTTGTAATGTAATTCCTTGTCTGTGCCATCATATTTTTTTAAAAATCTAGCTACCTCTCTCTCCCCTCCTCTTATACCATATTTCTTATAAGAATAGTTTTCATTTAGTTCTTCTACATCCCCACCTCCAAAATAATTTTTTGGGGTGTACATAAATGTTCATAGCACCTTTATTCACAATGGAAAAAAAATGGAAGCAACCCAAATGTCCATTAACAGGTGAATGAACAATTTTCTGTATATCCATGCAATGGAATACTACTCAGCAGTGAAACATGCAAACCACTGAAACATGCAACAAAATGGATAAACCTCAGAAACACTCTGCTGTGTGAGAGAAGCAATAAACAAAGGAGTACATAGTCTATAATTCCACTTATATGCAACCCAAATCATTCTTAACCCACATATAATTTCTTTTCCTCTAGGAGTCCTGTAAAATTGCTTCCGTTAAAGTCATCAATTACCTCCTTGTTACCAAATCCACAGGCTATGGTTTAATTCTTACCTTACTTGAGATCTCTGCAGCATTTGACATGGTTGGACACTTATTTGAAATTTTCTCCTCTTTTGGCCCTTCCTGTACCACTACACCTCTCCATCTTCATGCTCTTCCTAATTCTTAGGCTTTTTCATTTCAGATTCTTTCCCAGGCATTCTCTTCCTCTCCCTTCTGCCTGATTTTCATCTCATCCTTATCCATTTCCTCTTTCATTCTATCAACAATCTTCTTAATAACCTCACCCACAAACACATCTTTACTTCAAAATCCATCCCAGCTCAGACCTCTCTTAACCCCCAGACTACTGGACATTTCCACGTGGTTATTCCAGGCACCTAAAACTTAACAGGCTACACTCATTATTTACCCCCACTTTAGGCCATTTTGCCTTTTCTTCTGTATTGCTTGTCCCCAGGAATGGATTCATCATTCTCACATTTAAGATGATGCCCAGGTGTTGGAAATCTTAACTTATAAAAGAATAGCTTTTGTTGGAGTCACAGAATGAGAGAAGGGAAAGAAGAAGAGGTTGAGAATAAGTAGGTTTTCCAGGTCTAAGATTACAGAGGTCATGTAGCTTTAGCTCAACCACAAGGTCCAAACCATAGAAGTAAGCGTTGCTAAGCGAAAGTAATGCCTGATCCTGAGAAGAAAGGAAACCAAATAACGTTGAGCCTAGGGCAGGTTATTCAGTGGATATTGAAGAGGCATGGGGTGATGGCAGGATCAAGGCAAGGGAGAAGGCAGAGGCTAGGTGCAAAGTCTTCAATAAACGCAGAGGAGTGCCCTAGAGGTAGGTGGTTGACTGTAGTGAAGTTGGAGAGAATGTAGTTCAGCTGGATGGTGTGCATCTTCACAGACCAGGAAGGTGGTCTTGAAGCACTTATATCTTTTGGATTCGTTATGGAGTGTGGGGGGTCTAGTTACTCACATAGTTGGCACAGTGTTCTTATTTATGGAATCAGAAAAAAGAAAAGTTGCAGCAACCTCTGTGTGTTTACTCTCTTGGTTTACTGATGACATTTTGCCTGGGAGGTGAATCATCTGAGTCTTGGTATATTGTTATCCTATGGGTGTTTCATGTCTTAAGAAAAATTATTTAAGGAAATAAGTGCCCTAAGCAAAAATATCTTCTGGGTACCAGAGGGTCTAACTTACCTCTGGGATGACTTTCCTTTCTCGCCTTCCAGGGACCAGATGGCCCTCGAGGTGAAACAGGCCCTCCAGGACCTCAAGGTCCCCCGGGACCCCAAGGACCAAGTGGTCTGTCCATTCAAGGAATGCCTGTGAGTTGTGCGTGAATGTTCAGATGGGTTTTATTGTCATGCTGAGTTACAAAGAATGAACTTTTGTCTTCTGTGCTTTCATAATGAGCCTCAATCCCTTCCAACCCCTAAAAATAGGAATTGATAAATAAAAGTAATGATTGAGATTTCATTCATTAGCCAATTTTTTGTTCGATGGTGGGGGTCTTTTATAAACAGATACATGCCTGGAAGTAGGTTTATCCACAATTTGTCTACAGAAAAGAAAACAGGGCTTGACATGTAGGGCCCTTATTCTTATTTGACTAAGTCCTTAATGGATGTGTTAAAATCTAGAAAATAACAAATGTTATAGAAATTTAAGTTATTCGTTATGTGTTTGCAGTAGTGGTGGGTATAGATTCATGAAAGCCATTTAGTTATGATCTTTATCTCGATGGCCATCAAAGTGCAGTGGACCAAGTATGAGTTTTAGATTATAAACAGTATGCTTTATACAACCGCATTTCTTTGTAAAAGCTGTTTTTACCAGTGAAAGCAAATTTAGTTCCACTCACGGATTTTCATGAATCTAATTGTAGGGATCTCAATTTAAAGGATAAAACCAATCTCTGTAATTAACATTGGAAGCAAACACATCTTTTTAAACACGTTTTTAGCAATCTTTGTGTGCATATGATTGTGTTTCCCTAGCTAAGAAGTTTTCCTTTCCAGAGTTATTTTCACATTTTAGAAAGCATTAACATGCCAATTCGTACAATTACTGCTACTAATAAGCATTTGTTGAGGTCTTGTTACCAGTCAGGTACTGTGTTGGTTTTCCATTCTTATAAATTTCTAGTGAAAACAAAATGAAAATCTATATAGATAAGAGCTTTAAAATCTAAACTATAAATAATACTGAAATGTTCAAGACTCCACGTATTTACAGTATGGGCTTAGCCATATCAGACTGTATATTCTGTGTTTAAACTATCCTGATAAATAAACATTCAGCTCCATAGGAATGCTTACATAAGTCGTGTAGCATATGTGAAAAGTGAAATATACCATATTTGGTTGTTAACATGAGAGCAATTTAATGTTGAAAATATTAGAACAGTCAGTGGAGAAAAAAGACTAAGAATTTACCTCTGTGAACTTAACCCCATGTACTTTTGGATATTCAGGGAATGCCAGGCGAAAAAGGAGAGAAGGGAGAGACTGGCCTTCCTGGCCCGCAGGTATTATTTTTATTATTATTATTTTAACTTTTTATTAGAGTCTGTTGCTTTCAGCTCTAGAGCTTTGCCAAGGAAAAACAAGGCTATAGCTTCTGAAGTCAGCTGTGATCTTGGCAATAAGTGATTTCTATATTAAAGACTGTTAGCCTGTATTCACTTACCTTAAGCCCCCTCTCAGGATCATACTGATGGTCCCCAGGGTGAGCCCTGGTGAGGGGACATTTCTTTCCCATGAATAACTTCTGGCTTCTGAATTCTCAGTCACAAAGGCCTCAGCTTTATGCTACTAGGTTTGTTTGGAGGCCTTGATCTATTTCAGGGAAGCTGAGTAAGAAAGTAATTGATTTCCATGAATCTGACTCTTTTCTCTCCTTGCTTTATCTAGGGTATCCCGGGAGCTGTTGGTTCACCAGGACGTGATGGTTCACCAGGCCAACGGGTAAGGACTTGCCTAAGGTTGGCTTTGGTCTGGCAGATTTCCATGCAAGGAAGTCAAACCAGGTGTTATTTTTTTTGGTTTTCCTCCTATCTACCTACATTCTACCTATCCTGTGTCTATTCCTGTTCACTGACATCTTCTATGTCCATTAGTTTCATCAAAATCTGGGAACTTTCATCAAACCTTCCCAAATTAGCAGTACAATTTTCTGAACGTTGCCATAACCTGAACACAGTTTGCACTGAATTGCGTGCATTGGTTTAGCAGATTTTCCAGTTTTTTAAGGCATAAACCTAAAGGCAATCAAGAATCATTTGAATTAAAATTTCAGTAGTATGACTATCTGTAGTATTCTCCATTTATTTATGTCAATTATCTATTCTTTCAACCTTTTCAAGTGGACACCCAGGAAAGAAATTATAAGGATGATCAGGAGAGGGATGAGTTAACGTCTAGAGTTTGTTTAGTCAACGTGTCTTCACTGGGCCAGGCTTGAGGTTCCTGTCATCAAAGAGTTTATATCTAAATGGGAGGAAATACAACCAGATAAGAAACAATAATACAAGCTATAATGGGGATATTTACAGAGCCCTACGGGAGTACAAAGAACAGAGAACTAAGTTAGACCTAGGGGGTTGGGGAAAGCTTCCCAGAGGAGGCACCATCGAGGCTAAGTCTCAAATGAGAGAGAGAAATTAGCCAGTTGAATGAGGAAAGAAAAGCTACTGCAGGCAGTGAGTGGCATATACAAAGGAGTGGAGATGAAGAGACATTGGGGCATTTCCAATGTCGCGTGTAGTTCTTTACGGTTGGATATTAGAGTACAGTGTGTGTGTGTGTACGCATGCACACATGCATATGCACAGATGTATGCACACACTTAGATGTGGAAAGATTGTCAAAAAATGAACCTGGAAAGGTAAACATAAATTTACCTAAATCATCTATTTTTTTTAGGCTAGGGATTTTGAGCTTTAACAGGAGGGCAATAGGAAGTCATTAAATTTTCAGCAAGGGTAAGAGAGGCTGGTGTTCCTTAAACTGGCACTGGTTTAGACATGTGGGCAGCTCCACAGTTTTCTCTCAAGACTGAATTATGTGGAGTGGCAACCACTTAGATCCAGTCCAGAAAAGGACAACACGTTTGGCATGCACTAGTTATTTTTGGTACAACTTACCCTCTAGGTTAGCCAACAATCGGCTGAAAGACTCACTTTTCTACTCAAACAAGGCTTGCCTTTAGCTCAGGGTGGCTATACCACTCAAGAATAAGGAAATTTTCTTTTCTATATAAGTGTAGGTGTGGGACCTTAAATTCCTTCCATGTTCTTTTTTTTACACCAAACTTTCATTTGCTTAAAATCTCAGTTTAGTCTCTGTCCATCACATGGAATTACTTAGTCTGTGAAGCATGTCCAGATGAATGTATCTAAACGAGACATTCTCTAAAAGGTAGATTTAAGTAGGTTTCTTGTACATGTAGGAGTGTCTAGAAGTATTTATATGTTTTGGCAAAGGGCTTGGGCTAAGATCCTGTGTGGTTACATACCTAGATTCCTTCGTGATTCCTGAAGCTCTGAAAATGGCAATTCCAAAGATTTGTTTCAATGAATTTACTTGATTTACCCATGCATGGAGTTCAGTCTTGACAAAGAACTCCCAAATCAAGCATATCATATTAATGTTTGGATCATTTGGTTTTGGAATTCTTTCTTTCAAAACCAATATACTAACACAGACTTTTTTTATAAATATTTTTCTATTTCTCCAAACATGTTTTCTTTTATGGGATGAAAAGTCTTAGAGCTGTAATGAAGTGATAAGATATCTGTACATGGATTTACTTTCTTCTCTCCCTCAATTTGGAAGTAAAACTTGCAGAATGTGTTCAATTTCTATTTTGAAAAATTCTTGGATGAGGGTGGACTTACTTTTTGAAACTGGTTTTCAGAAGATACTTGTTCTTTATACGACCATGTTAAAAAAAGATTGTGCAAATCCTGTGACAATTGTTTTAGAAAAGATATTGAAGGGCAATACTATTCCAGTGTACAACTCTAGTGGGCACCATTCACACAGAATAAAATATAATGGTGCCCCCTGGAATTGTGTAACATTGCTGCCCTACTTGAGAGAGGGACCACATATATTTTTTTCAATATCTTGATATCTTGTTTAATAAGATATTAATTAAGCACATATCTTAATTGAACAAATACTGTGTGCCATGTAAGATGCTCAGCCTAGAAAGAGTTGTCCATTACTGCCTCCAGAGGGGAAGGATCCAGAAGAAGAGAGACCCAATAGCTAAAGGAGGCAATTCGTAGACCATCTACCTGGAGGAGCTGGAGGGATGGGATGATGTCAAGAGCATGACTCTTCCCTTGGACCAGGAAACAAATGGGTCTTCCTCAGAGACAGCAGAAAAGGAAGGAAAGGGAGGTGAAAACAGAGTTATTTAGGTGGCTCTGATCTGTTTAGTTAAATATCTGGGGCTTAAGGAAAGTTAAAGGTCTAAAACAGTTAGATAGTTACTTGGCAAGACTGTAAAGTAGGAGGCCCAGGACCAACTTTCATGGTGGTCGGGACAGATCTAGGCCATGGAGCGCCTTCATTGAAGGCCAGGTCTCTCTGGGGCAGCGGGAGTATCCAGGTCTCTGGGGTTAGGCCGTGGGAGAGGGGCTGAAAGAGTACTAAGGACAATTACTTCATGATTAGTCCTACTCTGTCTTAGGCCATGCTAAAAGGCAAAGCTGCACTCAGAAAATAATAATAACAATAACAACCATGGCAAAGAAGAGACAGAGCAAACACACTGGATGATGAGACTTACTGCTGAAATGCCTGAGAAGCCACTTCCAGAAAATTGCCCAGTTAGGCTTGACTGTCCAGGGAATCAGGAAGGCAGAGTTATTTTGTCTTTTCTTCACTCTATACCCTTAAATCATGTACTGTTACTGTGTCTTCATTTCTCCTGCTCCTGAGTGAGTAAAGCCCACTCTAGGCAAAGAAGGAGGAAGCAGGAATAAATCTGTGTTTTGATGTCCACTCAGTGCTTCTAGCTCTTTGGAGAGTCTCAGTGGGTGAGTGAGTGAGGAGTGCTGTAGGAGTGGTGGGCTTTTCCTCCCTGTTCATTCTTCTTTCTTTTTAATCTTCATCTTCTCTTATTGACAGTTAAGACCTCACAGTCCAAAGCTAGCACCATCACCTTGACAATTATCTTAAGGAAATGTTCCTCTTTTTCTGGAGCGGTGTCAATGTTACTTGTTAATTTAGCCTGGAAGGAGGGAATGCTTAGCAAAGAATGAAAAGAAGATTAAACATCTCCTCTTTAAACAGGGAACATGTTTTCTAATGTTTCTAGCTTATTTTGGCTTTTCCCAAGGGGAATCTTTGACTCTTAGCGGCAGTACATATCCAACCCCGGGCCTGATGCCATAAGCAAGTCCAGCAAAAGTTGGACTTCTTCATTGAACAATTCTTAGCCTCTTACTGGTAAGCCAATAGAGCCCAATGCAGGACCACACTTTATACAGCAACAGTGCAAGTTCAGATTTAATAGCTGAACACATTCAGGCATCCAGTTTTCATTCTGAGCCATTCCAACCAACAGTATTCTGGTCTCATGTTTCCTTTCTGCTGTAAATCTTGCCACCTCTCTCTGGCCTCCTTCCTCCTCTTTTCTTGGTGTCTGTGACCCCAGGGTCCATCCCGTGGTCTTTGAGCTCCTCTGATGTAGGGTGGATCTCTCAGCCCCCACCCTAGACATCCGAGTGGTCCTTAGAGAAACTAGGAAGAACAGGCAAGACATGGCTAAGCCTAAGAAGTAGAGAAACAACTGAAGAAGAAAGAAAGAAGAGAAAAAACAACCTCTTCTCTAGTTCTGAGGCTCACTTACATCCAAGACCACCAGCTTTCTGTCAAGTACTCCAAATGGAAACTTTAAAAATCATTTTTATTCTCCAGTTCTTAATATTGTTATATAAAAAGCCAGAGAGACAAGAAATAAAAATGACAAGAAGATATATATTTTATGGCACCTGGAAGATAGTAATTCCTCCATTGAACAGAGGGTATTTTAAATTCCAAGTAAGCTTAATTTGGAAGGCGTCCTCTTCCCCAAGTTACTGCTCCCTCGCATCTCCATGCCATAACCACAGACTTCCTTTCCCATCTATAAAAGATGAAATACTGTAAAAAACAAAGAAACCCTTCTGCCTGTGAATTCTGCTGAACTTGTGAGATTATGAGAAGCAGGATGGCACAGTGGTGAATATCAGATTTGGACTGTTAGCCAGACCTGAGTTTGAACCCTAACCATATGACTTTGAGCCAGTTACTTAATATTTCCAAGCCTCACTTTCCTCATCTGTGAAGTGGAAAAAATAATATTTGACTCCACAGAGTTATTGTGGGAATTAATTCATATAAAGAATTTCTATATAAAAATTCAATTACAGCTGATGTTAGTATTCACTGTTTTCAATGTAAACCTAATGAGTTAGGACAGTATAATATTTTATAATGCCTGTTCTTGACGTATTAAGGCGTCTTAGAAGATTTTAAAGAACATAAAAAAGTCTAAAGAAAAAGTAAGTGGTTAGTTGTTGTTGTTTAATTTTCTGGGATTCCACATTGAAAGGACATTTGGAATATGCTGCTTTTTCATGTGGGTTTGATGTATACAACGGCCGTATTCGTGATGAATGTCCCATATCATTAAAGTGAGTTGAACTTAAAATGTACTCGAGAAATTGAACTTGAGTCAACTATCTGGATTTACTCCTGTCCTGTCCTAAATGTCAAACTGTGATGAGAGATTCATCTAATGAGTATTTTGTTAAATACTAAGATTCATGATAATTACCCCCTTGAGTATCTTCCTCCTTCAGAAGAGGAAATGTAAAATACCATTACAAAGCTAGTGGAGAGAATGATTTGATTTTCTTTTTCATGGGTCTAGATGGGTTTTTATAAATCCCCAGGAAAACATTCTTACA